GCACCCAGCTGCTGACGGGAAGGTCAACAGTTTGAACACAGGTGTGGCAGCCTGCTTCTGTAAGGATTCCAACCTTGGAAACCCCGGGGTGGGGGCTGCTGTAGCCTGTCTTAAAGGGTCACCGTGGGTGGGAATCGACGGATGGGGGCTTTGGTTTGGGCTTCAGGAGCGTCTCTTAGCCGCCCCTGGAGGCTGGCAGCCTCTATAATGCCCAGTCCCTCTAATGAGCCGGTGGAAGGCCTACTGCTGTAATTACAATCCCACACTCCGCCCCCTGGCCACCACCGAAAGGCCAGCCCTGGGCCACTCTCGGTCTTTGCTCGACGTTCACTTGCTCAATCCCCAGGGAGCTGCTTTGTGCCAGGCCATCAGTGGGATGTCCCTATCATGTTTCCCCCTCCCACCCCCCAAACTTCATCACCTCACCTGGTCAGCACAGCAACTGGGTAAAGTGGAAAGCATTGTGTCCATTTTACAGATGAGGACATTGAGCCCTGGCCGGCCCCATTCCAGCCCCAGAGCCCTTTCTCCGCAACCCACTGCCCGCATCATCTCACCCCACATCCTCCGAGCTTGTCTCCCACATCCCTCTTCCTTCTGATGTCCATTTCCCAGCATCCCTCGCCATCATCATCATCTTCTGACTTGGGGGCTGTTCCACCGTGGGCTGGCATGTGGGGGCGCAGCACTGGCCTGGAAGGACAGGCGTGACCCCAGACTGCCACCACAGATGAACGTGAAGCCGTGCAGAAGAAAACCTTTACCAAGTGGGTGAACTCGCACCTGGCCCGGGTGACCTGCCGCGTGGGGGACCTGTACAGCGACCTCCGGGATGGACGCAACCTTCTCCGGCTGCTGGAGGTGCTCTCGGGAGAGACGCTGGTGAGCCGCCATCGAGGTCCCGTCCCCACCCCCGCTCCCCAGCGGGGGCGGCTGAGAAGGAGCGCTGAGGGCAGGCGGGGGCGGGTAGTCGCCCATGGAGAGCCGGGGGAAGAGCAGTGTTTCCTTCCCCTCGGAGGGTGGCTTCCTCTGAGCGGCTTTGCTGCCAGGATTAGCCAGGAGGGTGGCTTCTCGGGGACAAGAACAGTGGCCCCATTGAAAGCATTTCTTTTTCCCACCCACTCCTGGTGCAGTTAATTCTCTTGGGAATCTTAATCTGCCCCTAGACCCTCAGCATTGACTCCCTGGCCCTGGGCTTCACCGCCCTGGGGGCTGTGTCCTGGGTTCCAGAGGTGGAGCCTGCCGAGGAAAGGGGGGGGGCCCCATCACTCCAAGTCCCCTGTGTCCACAGCCCAAGCCCACCAAGGGCCGCATGCGCATCCACTGCCTGGAGAACGTGGACAAGGCGCTGCAGTTCCTGAAGGAGCAGCGGGTGCACCTGGAGAACATGGGCTCCCACGACATCGTGGACGGGAACCACCGCCTCACCCTCGGGCTAGTCTGGACCATCATCCTCCGGTTCCAGGTACGCGAGAGCGGTGTTGGTGCTCAGAGCACGGCCCTCCCACACTGGACTCCGGCCCACCACGCTGTGGGGGTCAGCTGCTGTCACGTGGGCTCTGACTGAGCGTGACCCCACACACTGCAGAATAAAACTCTGCCTGGGCCTGTGCCAACCGCACCGTCACTGCGGTGACTGAACCCAGTGTGGCAGCCACCGTGTCCATCCACCCGGTCAAGGGGCTTCCTCTTTTCCACTGGCCTTCCATGATGCCCTTCCCTGTGTCACCTTAGCTAGGTCTAGTATGGCAGTTCTCAACCTGTGGGTCGTGACCCTTTTGTGAGGGGTGGGGTCGAACAACCCTTTCACAGGGGTCGCCCGATTCATCACAATAGCAAAATAACAGTGATAAAGTAGCAATCAAAATAATTTTATGGTTGGCGGGAGGTCGCCACCATATGAGGAAGGTTGAGAACCACTGGTCAGGAACCTCCAAAAGCCATTCTCATGGCTGCCCTTGCTGCAACGTCCCGACAGGGGCCAGTGGGCGGAGGAGCAAGATCAGTAGACTTGCCTTCCTGAGCAGGTGGAGGGGCCAGCTGAGTTGTGGCTGACCTCAAGTCCCCACTTCCCTGTGGCCTGAGCTGTGTGCGAGCATGTACCATGGGGCAGGCCGCTCCTGTGGGGCTTTTGAAAACTGCTTCCCCAACAAAGAGTTCGAGAAGGACCGCGTCAGTGGGCCTACCCTCAGTTGCACCTCTGCTGCCTTGGACGCTGCTTCTCAAAAACTCATGCCCGTGAGTCGATACTGACTCATAGCAACCCTGTAGGGCAGGGTAGAACAGCCCTGCTGGGTTTCTGAGACTGATTCTTTACTGGAGAAGAAAGTTCTGTCTGCTCCCGAGGAGCGGCTGGTGATTTCAATCCATTGACCTTGTGGATCGCGGCCCAACACATAACCACAACACCAACCGCTGAACTCCACTAATCCCCCCCAGGAGGAGAGCAGTTATCTAACTCCTCCTTATCTCCCGAAGGCACCAGGGGATACGCTGAGTCGGACTAGAACTGTGCCCCCCTAGTTTTCTTTTTTTGGGCCCCCCTAGTTTTCAATAACCATCTCAACAGAAGATCACCAGGTCCTGTGGGGTGGGCTCACACCTGACGGCTGCCTGCGTCACCCAGGGACTGCTCTTAGGTGCCGTTGACTTGATTCTGACATACAGCGGCCCCGGGACAGAGTAGTTTCTCTGTTGCCCCGTTGGGTTTCTCAGCAGTCTTCTCAAAAGCATGGTCATCCAGGTCTTTCTTTCTCAGAGCCTCTGGGTAGGTTCTACCCGGATACTTGCCTTGAGTCTGGTACCATTGGGTCCCTGGTTCTGCCAGGAGCACCTGCCCCAGGAGTGAGGGCCGGCCTGCCTGCCTTCCTTCCTTAGATCCAAGACATCAGTGTGGAAACAGAAGACAATAAGGAGAAGAAGTCTGCCAAGGACGCGCTGCTGCTGTGGTGCCAGATGAAGACTGCGGGGTGAGACCCCAGGGGTTGGTGGTGAGGAGGGATGGCCTGACCAGGACCCGCTGCTGGGAACCAGCCTTGAGTCTGTGTCAGGCCCATTGGGCACCGCTAGTCTATTCTCACTCAACACAACCCATACAGCAGGGTCATGGGGCCTCCTGGATTTCCTTGGCTGCAACCTTTTTGTTTATTTGTTTGTTACATTTTTATTGGCACCTGTGTTAGTTCTGGTAGACTTAATTCATAAGCATGCATATATGTATAAGGAAGAGCTTTATCTACAGGAACAATTGAATATTGAGAAAACAGCCAGTCCATAGCAAGTCTCTAAGTTCAATATTAGCCCATATGTGGAATACTAGTCCATAAATTCCTCTTTAGACTCATGCAATGATACCGAATGCAGGAAGATCACAGGCCAGTGGGTGGGAGGTCTTGTGGATCCAGTGGTGGTAGAAGCGCTGGCAGGGGACTCCATGTGGCTCCTCCAGCTCCCAGGGCGTGGGCTCTATCAGCGTAGCTCCATGTGTCTTGTCCAGTAGAGCATCTCTCGGAGTGAGTCCACGCTCTGCCTCCAGGGAGCTATTTAATTCCTTAGCGCCTCTAAATGAGGTCATCAGACGGCTGAACGCCATCCCTTCACTCAGACGCCTCTCAGTTTGACAACAGATGATATAACTAACACAGCACCTGATCCACATATCATACAGTTCAATAGTTGGTTCGTTCCATCTTATCAAGAAGAATTGTACTATCATTACACAATCAATGTTAGAACATCACACACACCCCAACCACCGTGGTTAAATCACCTTTAAAAATGAGTTGTGATATCACCATCAATTCCACCCCCCACCCCCAGCTGTAATCTTCACAAACGCTAATCACCAGGTCTGTCTTCCGTGGAGCCTCTGAGTGGGTTTGAACTGCCAGCCAGTCAGCAGCTCCAGGCAGGGCTCCTTGAGACCCCAGGCTGGGTCTGCCCTCTGCTGTTGTTAGCCAGCCTCACGGCCCCCCACCCACCGCGGGACCAAATGCTGCTCTTCGCCCTGTGTCCTCCCTGTGATGGGTTTGTGTTTGGATGATTGTGACCCTTTAGAACAGTGATTCCCAACCTGTGGGTCTCGACCCCTTCAGGGGTCGAACGACCCTTTCACAGGGGTCGCCCGATTCATAACAGTAGCAAAACGACAGTGATGAAGTAGCAATGAAAAGAATTTTAGGACTAGGGGTCGCAGCACGAGGAAGGTTGAGGACCGCTGCTCTGGGGCTGGTGCTTGAGCACTGAGCCACCAGGGCCCCTCCACCCCACAGCCCTCCTGGCTCAGCTCTCTGCTCAGACCTGCCTCCTCTCTGTGTGTAGGTATCCCAACGTGAACGTGCACAACTTCACCACCAGCTGGAGAGACGGGCTGGCCTTCAATGCCATCGTTCACAAACACAGGTGAGAAGGCGGGCTCAGCAAAGGCCTCCGGAGGCACCAGGGTGGAGGGTGGGGGTGGGGGTGTCTGGTTCTGGACACCACTGATGGGGGATCAGGATGGCCCTGGATGTCCTGTCCCTTGGAGGATACCACATGCTTGGGGTCCCTTCTCTCCTCCCGGCAGGCCAGACCTGCTGGATTTCGAGTCCCTGAAGAAGTGCAACGCCCATTACAACCTGCAAAATGCTTTCAACCTGGCCGAGAAGGAGCTGGGGCTCACCAAGCTGCTGGACCCAGAAGGTGGGGGCGCCGAGCTGGATAGAGTGGGGTTGGTGAGCACCAGTACCCAGGTGCTCAGCCACTAGTCGCTCCTTGAGAGAAAGAAGTGGCCCTGGGCCTCTGTGAGATGGACAGTCTTGGAAGCCCCAGAGGGAGTCCTACTCTATGAATCGGAATCAATGAGACAGCAGTAGGTTTGGATGGGTTTGTGTTTTTTTGTGGGGGGAGGGTGTTGCATAGACAATACGTAGATTAGTGGTGGACAGGGGCATAAATGACTGTTGATCGGTACAGTGCTTCCCTTTGGAATGATGAAAAGACCCTGGAATCAGGCAGTGGAGGTGGTTACACAACCTTATGAAGACCCTAAAATCCACCGATTTGTACGCTGCGATGGTGAATCGTGTGAACTCTTTGAAATGATCAGAGGAAGGTAGAACTGCTATGAGACCCGGAAGGAGCCGTGGGACAGGGAGCGGACCCGTGTGGCCGAGGACAGCCGCCTGGCCTCTCCATGGCTGTTTCTCTGTCTCTAAAACATGGAGAGCCATGACCTGGTCTCCAGGGGGCCCTATTTAGTCTAGGGTTTAGACTTAAGCTCCATGACCTTTAAGGTAAGGCCTCATGGTCCACCGGCCCTGCCAATGGGCTCCGGAGGTGCTGACCCATCGCCAATGATGTCAGCAGTGCAGAGTGAGCTCTGATTTGGCACCTGGCCCCCCCTTAAGCCCTTCAGTCCTCCCAGCAGCCCTTTGCAATCAGCAGTTATCGCTGACAGTTGACAGTTCCCCGCCCAGGGACTCTTGTCAAAACCAAAAAACCAAACTTGATGCCATGACACCCATTCTGACTCTTAACAACTCTACAGGCAGAGTAGAGTTGCCCCACCTGTGGGTTTCTGAGACTGTAACTCTACGGGAGAAGAAAGCACTGTCTTTTCTCCCGAGGAGGTGGCAATGGTTTCAAACTGCTGACCTTGCAGTTAGCAGCCCAGTGCCTCACCACTGTGCCACCAGGACGCTGGCTTAATGAAGAGCATCCAGGGATGTCAAGTCCTAGTCTGTCCTGTTGGCGGGTGAGAGGGGTGGGTGGGGAGGACTGGAGTGTAAGGTCATTGAGCCCTTGGGCCCACAGCTGGCTTCTAGGTTGAGATTGGAAACAGCCCTGGCCGAGACCGGAGAGGTCTGGGCTTGCAGGTTCCATGGGTTTAGCTCAGCTGATGACCCTGAACCTGCTAACTTCTCAGGCAGCTCTCCAGCCTGGAAGTCCACAGTTCACACTCAAGAGGGAATGGAATCTTGCCTTTCCTCCCCAAACAGCTGGCCCTCATCTCCCCCATGAGCCCTGGGTAGGATTTCCTGGGCGTCTGGGTTTATGTGCTGCCCAGCGAGCCCTTCCCTTGCCTAGCGAGGGACTTGCCCGTAGCCTTTTCGTCTGGCTGATGCAATAGTTGTTCAGCTGTGATGAGGCCCTGGGAAGCAGGTTGGGGTAAGTGGACCCCACTGCAGGTGTACCTCCAGGGGGAACAGGCTTCTAACCTGAGGGGGGGCCTTCCCGCAGACGTGAATGTGGACCAGCCGGATGAGAAATCCATCATCACCTATGTGGCCACATACTACCACTACTTCTCCAAGATGAAGGCCTTGGCCGTGGAAGGGAAAAGAATCGGCAAGGTACTCTGCACCTGAAGGCGCTCGGCGTCGGGGCCCCAGGAGGCCTGGCCCAAGGGTCTTCCCTTTGAGCTTACCGGTGGGGCAGTGGAACTAACCACAGGAGGCAGCTTTCTCAGTGGGCCCCGTCCGGCAGGTGCTGGACCATGCCCTGGAGGCAGAGCGGCTGGTGGAGAAGTACGAGTCTCTGGCTTCGGAGCTGCTGCAGTGGATTGAGCAGACCATCGTGACCCTCAATGACCGGCAGCTGGCCAACTCCCTGAGCGGCGTCCAGAACCAACTGCAGTCCTTCAACTCCTACCGCACCGTGGAGAAGCCGCCCAAGTACGTCCCTTCCAGACCCCACCCTGCGGGCCGTGCCTGCCCAGAACTGGGCTCCCCCAAATCCCTCTAAAACACCCCAAACTCGCTGCCAGGCAGTCCATTCTGACTCGTAGTGACCCCGTAGGGCGGGGCAGGACTGCCTCTGAGGGGTTCCCGAGACTAAATCTTTCTGGGCGTGGAGTCTCATCTTTCTCCTGCAGAACGGCTGGTGGTTTCAAACTGTTAGCAGCCCAGCACGTAACCCATTTACCTCTAGGGCTTCCACAAAACAAAGCCTCAATCCGGGCGGCCTTTCAGGAGGACGTGTGTGCTGGTCTGTCTGGGCAGGGCAGGGTCCTTCCCCCTGGCTGAAGATGCCACAAGTGGTTCCAAAATACTGCCTTGTTTCCGTATAGCTTTTTACTTGGGGTAGAAACAGAAAGAGTGAAGCGTGCATCCATTCAGCGATGTCTACTCGTAGATTTAGTGACACTTTAATGTCACTCCTCTCACGGTTTGCACTCCGTTCTTTGGCGACTTCTACGCTGCGTAGTCACCATGGGCGATTTGGTCCTCTAGTTTTAACATCTTCTAAGCGAGCACACTACTCGAGGGAGTCCTTCCTTATTAAAGGAGCAAAACTGTTGTCTAGCCTAACCGTGGCGTCGGATAGTTAGGGCGAAAGGTTTCAGGAATATCTCAGGGCAATAGATGTGTGGGTTCCTCCCGTCTCAGTGGGCCCAGGAAGTCTGGAATCTTCAGAAATTTGAAGTACTTTCCCACAATCTCCTCCCTGCTGATCCAGATTCAGCTAGCCTATCTCTGATCAAACGGTTCTCCTGGCCTCAGGTCAGAAGAGACGTGGCCTGGCTTGTGGAAGCAGCGTCCTGTGGCCTCGATGGCTGGAGTGGGTGCAGTCCTCACAGATAGGTGGCCGGTGGTGGCGTGTCTCACAGCCCATTTGCAGCCGATGGCTAGGTGGGATAGGATCCGATAGGCCCGCCACTTCTGGCGACCCAGCAGTACAGGTTGGGTAGCTTGCATGTTGCACATGCCTTCGCTATTACTGTCTTAGCGATGAGCAGGTTTCGTGAAGTCTGGCTCACTGGTCGGCAGCTCAAACCACATGCTGGCACTGCTGGCATTGCCTTTTTCCTCTCAGTGAGCTTTCTCGGTATCAAAAGCCCACGAATCCAGGAAACCTCTGTGTATGTACATTCCAGGGAGTGATTTGATGTCTGCCGCTCGACCCAGACCGTCTGTGCTGGGCGTGGAACAAAGATGGAGCCAACAGAAGGTTGTCCGAGGACACACAAGTCACTGTGTGGCCAGGGGAAAGAGTGTCCATGAAATGTACTTGTGACCATGAGGAGGTCTTTGTGGTATAATGAGCGAGAAAGCCGGTTAGAGAGGTGCTTTGTGGGCCGCAGAGGACAGTGCGAGCATCCCGGGCTTATCTGCCTGCGTCCCTGTCCTGGCTCTGCCTGGTAGCAGTTGCAACCCTTGGGCACAGTTTGAACCTCGAGGTGCCTCAATTTTCTCAGCTGAAAAGTGGGCGCGAAGGGAGGGACCATGGAGAGCGGTGAGAATGGCACGCAGGGGCCCCACGTGGGTGTGATCGGATCCCCGGGGACTTGAAGGACAAAGAAAGGTGCCCGCAGCCTGGGCTTTGGTCCTGGTGACTGTCGAGTGGTTGGGGGGCTGTGTGCTCTTTTCTCCCTGGCTAGACAAGGGTGTGAATCGCTTCTCTGCGAAGCCATTCGGGTTGGGAAAGGGCCTTGACTCTGGCGCCGCCTGGCTTCCTCCCTCAGGTTCACAGAGAAAGGGAACCTGGAGGTGCTTCTCTTCACCATCCAGAGCAAGCTGCGGGCCAACAACCAGAAGGTGTACACGCCCCGGGAGGGCCGGCTCATCTCCGACATCAACAAGGTCTGCCCCCTGCTGTCCGTCCTCCCTCCCTCGCCACGCTTCTCGTGGGTGCCGGTAGCTGTCACCTAGTCACCCACACATACCACTCACAGTGACCACACAAAACAATGCCCAGCCCTGCCCCATCTTCCCATCTCTTGCTACACAGAGAGTTTCATTGACTGGGCTTTGGAAGTGGGCACCAAGCCTTTCTTCCTTGTCTCTCTCAGTCCAGAAGCCTGTGCAGCACTGGGGCAACACTGCAGGCCCCTCTGCCTGCAATAAGGGGTGGTGGCTGGGAATCGAACCTGAATCTCCAGCCGAGGGGAGAAGAGCACTCTCCTGCCGAGCCAAACTCATCACCAGATCCCTAACTGGAGACCCCAACTTTTTCTAGTTATTGTCACACATCCTAAGACGGAAATGAAAATTGGGGTCGCCCGCCAGGCTGCCAGCGTCACACTCCAAAGGGTTTCCATGTTCCCTCCCCGTGCATGTTCATAAACACACCCCGTAGTCATGCATGGCTTCCTGGCTCTCATGGCGCCACCCCTGGGGTCTCAGGAGTCTGCCCGACCACATTCCCCAGACCCACTAGACCGAGTTTCTGTGGGACAGCTTTGCCACGCAGGCCTGCCCTGAGCCCTGACCCCGTCCCTGCCCTGCAGGCCTGGGAGCGGCTCGAGAAGGCGGAGCATGAGCGGGAGCTTGCCCTGCGCACGGAGCTGATCCGCCAGGAGAAGCTGGAGCAGCTGGCTGCTCGCTTCGACCGAAAGGCGGCCATGCGCGAGACCTGGCTCAGCGAGAACCAGCGCCTCGTGTCCCAGGTACAGGGCGGGGACTGAGGGGTGTCCAGGTGGGCGGGAGAAACTGGAAGGGACCCTGGAAGACAGCCCCACCGGGTGGGGTCCGTGCAGTGAGATACATACATACCAAGATAAGGAATCTTGAGATGGTGAAATCCAGGGCCCTGAGGCTGGAGCAGGAGGAGGGGTTATTGAGACCCATGGGGTGGCCTGGCGGGACCAGAGAAGAGAGAACAGGAACCTAAGGGGCACCTGCAGCAGGTGCTCTCTGGCGACCAAAAGGGTGAGCACGGGGGCTGTGCCTCAATCCCCAAGACTGTGCTCCCTGCCACTGCCCCAGGACAACTTTGGGCTGGAGCTGGCGGCGGTGGAGGCCGCGGTGCGGAAGCACGAGGCCATCGAGACCGACATCGTGGCCTACAGCGGCCGGGTGCAGGCGGTGGACGCCGTGGCCGCGGAGCTGGCCGCAGAGCACTACCACGACATCAAGCGCATCGCGGCGCGGCAGCACAACGTGGCGCGGCTCTGGGACTTCCTGCGGCAGATGGTGGCCGCCCGGCGCGGCCGGCTGCTCGTCAACCTGGAGCTGCAGAAGGTGCTTCAGGACCTGCTGTACCTGATGGACTGGACAGAGGAGATGAGGGTACGGAGCGCGGGCACAGGGCGGGGGCATGGGGGCCACAACAGACAGGCCCCTGCCCCGGCGGGGTGCACTCTAGTGGAAGGAGGCTTAAGCCCATGCCATCGGTCCATCCTCCCCTGGAGACCTCACAGGACAGAGTTGAACTGTCCCGTAGGGTTTCTAAGGCTGTAGACCACCACCCTCTCTACCTGAGGGCAGCTGCTGGCTTCAAACGACTGGCTTTTCTGTTCGCAGCCCAGTGCGGGCTTCCCCGCTGCACCACCGGGGACCCTCGTGGGGCTCTAACCCAGAGGCCCAGGTCCGTTCCAGCACATAGCAACCCTGTAGGACCCAGGGCTCTCGTCTCTCTGGCCACATATGCCATAGCTTTCCCCCTCGGAGCAGCTGGTGGTTCTGAAGAGCAGCCAAGCACTTCCTCTCGGTGCCACCGGGGCTCTTTGGAGACCCCTGAGGGCTTATCAATACACACGACAGCGGTGGCGACAAAGGCTCAGAGATCCCTGGGCACGGCCACGTGACGGGCTGGTCTGAGAGCGCCTCTCTTGAGAGGATGTGGTTTATGCTGAGACCAGGAATGGCCGGCAACATCATACCAAGGATTGAGGCGGGGGTGGACAAAGAGAAAGCGTACCAGAAGGGAGGAGCAGCTAGGCAGAGACCCTAGGATTGTCCAAGTGTGGCCAGCCAGTGGGCAGAGGTGTGTGGAGGGGTAGGGCGGGGGAGGGATGAGAGAAAGGGCAGTAGTCAGTTTCCTTGGCGCCTAAGAGGCCGCGTTGAGAGTTCAGTTCCCATCCAATCAGGACCCACTGGCTGACTTCAGGACGCTTTGAAAATGAAGGCGATTCCGGCAACATTTTTGGAAGGTCACTTTGTGTGGTCACCGCCGAGGGTCCAGGAGCAGGGTTTAGGAAGAAAACCATTCCCAGGGAAGGGACATGAGGACAGGGAGGCCGGGGTGCCCCGACAGATGCAGCGGGAGCAGATGGGCGCACCTGGAACCGCCCAGGCACTCGGAGTGAGGTCAGCACACCGGTGTGACTTGGCCACGTGTCCCGCAGGGCCGGCTACAGTCACAGGACCTGGGCAAGCACCTGGCCGGGGTCGAGGACCTGCTGCAGCTGCACGAGCTGGTGGAAGCCGACATCGCCGTGCAGGCCGAGCGGGTGCGGGCCGTCAGTGCCTCTGCGCTGCGCTTCTGCGACCCGGAGAAAGGTGAGCGTCCCTGGAGGGTGACCTGAGGGTGGGGGCTGGGGGGTGATGGAGCTAGACCAGGGTGGAGGTGGAGGTGGAAGGGGTTCCCTAATGAGAGTGGAGGCTGGGGGGGGACAGCGAGGAGCTCGGGGCAGTGCTCCAGCCCAGGCGTGGTCTTTCCAGAATACAAGCCGTGTGACCCTCAGCTGGTGTCAGAGCGGGTGGCCGCCCTGGAGCAGAGCTACGAGGCGCTGTGCGAGCTGGCAGCTGCCCGGCGCGCCCGGCTGGAGGAGTCCCGGCGCCTCTGGCGCTTCCTCTGGGAGGTGGGGGAGACCGAGGCCTGGGTGCGGGAGCAGCAGCACCTCCTGGCCTCCGCGGACACGGGCCGAGACCTGACCGGCGTCCTGCGCCTGCTCAACAAGCACACGGCCCTGCGGGACGAGATGAGTGGCCGCCTGGGTCCCCTGAAGCTCACGCTGGAACAGGGCCAGCAGCTCGTGGCGGAGGGCCACCCCGGGGCCGGGCAGGCAGCTGCCCGCGCCTCAGAGCTCCAAGCGCAGTGGGAGCGGCTAGAGGCCCTGGCGGAGGAGCGGGCCCAGCGGCTGGCCCAGGCCGCCAGCCTCTACCAGTTCCAGGCCGACGCCAACGACATGGAGGCCTGGCTGGTGGACGCGCTGCGCCTGGTGTCCAGCCCCGAGCTGGGGCACGACGAGTTCTCCACGCAGGCCCTGGCCAGACAGCACCGGGGCCTGGAGGAGGAGATCCGAGGCCACCGGCCCACCCTGGAGGCCCTGCGGGAACAGGCTGCAGCCCTTCCTCCAGCCCTGAGCTGTGCCCCGGAGGTGCAGGGCCGGGTGCCCACCCTGGAGTGGCAGTATGAGGAGCTGCAGGCCCGGGCCGGGGAGCGGGCACGGGCCCTGGAGGCGGCCCTGGCGCTCTACACCATGCTCAGCGAGGCCGGGGCCTGCGGGCTCTGGGTGGAGGAGAAGGAGCAGTGGCTTAACGGGCTGGCCCTGCCCGAGCGCCTGGAAGACCTGGAGGTGTTGCAACAAAGGTAGGACGCCGGCGGTGGGCTCCCACCACAACTGCAGGGGGCGGGAGGGCGGGGGAGGATGCACCCCAAACCACCAGCTCTGGCCACCGCCCTTGAGCCCTCATGGTCGTCGGGTCTGGGTCTCAGAAGCCTCCAATGGTGCAAAGGTCAACACGCTTGGCTACTGACCCAAAGGTTAGAGGTTGGAGTCCGCCAGGGGCAGCTCGGAAGAAAGGCCTGGCCATCCGCTTCTGACCACACAGCCACTGAAAACCGTCTGCGGCATGGTTCTTTCTGGCCGGCAGGCGGGGTGGACTCGCAGGCAGCTGGCAGCGGATGTGTTTGAATGGAACGCGTTCAGCATGTGCAAAAGTGAGCGAGTTAGGCCGAACAACAACAAAAGCAGACCTGCTTCCATCCAGCCTGATTGAAACTCTTAACATCGTGACGGGCGCCGACAGCCTCGTCTATCCTCCTGAGGCTCCCTCATGGCCATCGAGTCAGTGCTGACCCACAGCGACCTTGTAGGACAGGGTAGAACTGCCCCCGGGGGTCCCGAGACTGGCGCTCTCCACAGAAGTAGAAGGCCTTGTCTGTTTTCTCTGGAGCAGCTGGTGTTTCGGACCACTGACCTTGTGGTGACCTTGTGGTGAACAGCCCGGTGCATCGCTCTGCGCCACCACGGCTTCTCAGTGAGGCTAGTGGGTTTGGATCGCTGCTCCGAGGGAGAAAGAGGAGGCTTTCGACTCCTGTAAAGATAGACCGTGTTGGAAACCCACAGGGGCAGTCCTACCGTGTCCCGTGAGTCGGAATCCACCCAACGGCAGTGGGTTTTTTAGGCAGAGATGCTGGTTCTAAGCCCACTGCCGATGAGTTGATCCCAACTCCAGGTGCCCAAATGGACTTTCGTGGAGCTGCCTAGTAAGGCTGCCACCTGCTCGTAAGAACGTTCTGTCCAACTGGGCAGCCCACCTGAGCCCCCTCTTGTGAAATACGGAACAAAACGAACATCTAGACATCTGCCACATGGGCCTCTCGTCAGACTGTCCCCTGTGATTGTCGAAAGGGTTTCCTTCCTTTCCAAGACGGCCTGTCACTGGGTCAGCAACTACAGCCCTCGGGCCAACTCCCGCCTACTGCCCGTTTCTGTGAAGAAAGTTTTATTGGAACGTGGCCATGCTCATGTATGTCGTAGAGTGTCCAGGACGGCTTTTACTCCACAACAGCCAGGCTGACCCGTCGAGCCTGCGGGACCATCAGGCCCTGCAAACGCCTGAAGTACACGTTTGCTGACCCTTTACAGAGAGGTCTACAGACCTCTGTCCAAAGTCCATTGTGAATGAGTCCCCGGGAGAAGCTAGACTTCGCATCGGTATCCTTTCAGCACTTTTCTGGTTAATCACCTTATTCCTTGACACTTACTGGTAGGATGGGACCCAGGTAACAATTAAGGGTTAAGTCCCAGGAGGGATCAGAGATAGTGGAGCCCTGCACCTGGGATGAACTTGACCTGTTGGGGCAGGTGTTCTTGGCCTTGGACTCTCTCTTCCTGAGCAACTCTCAAAGTGGACTTCAGAGCCCTGTGCAGGGGGGTGGGCCACAGAGACCAGGACTGCAGACAGAGTCCTGTAACTCAGTCTTGTGTGGAAGTAGCAGCATTCTCTTGGGTGTCCGGGCAGCCGCGCCACACCACGCAGGCCCACCTTTTCTCCCTCATCAGGTTCGAGACCCTGGAGCCGGAGATGAACGCGCTCGCCGTGCGGATCAGCACCGTGAATGACATTGCAGAGCAGCTGCTGCGGGCCAGCCCCCCGAGCAGGGAGAGCATTGTGGACACCCAGAAGCAGCTCAACCACAGGTAGGGCTGGGGAGCGGAGACGAGCCTACGCGGGCCGGGAGGGCAACCAGGCGTTTTGTAGGGCCTGGAAGGGCAACTGAACATGTCAAAGGAAGCCCGTTTTGGCGGGAGGCAAAGGGATGAAAGAGACAGAAGGAGTGGGTGGGGGGTGGGAGGGGGCAGTGTTGGGAGGGGTGTATCTAAGAGGCTGGCATTCTAGACAGTAGAAACGGAGTTAAGAAGGCAAGGAGTGGGCAGCGAATGGCCTCTGGCCTACATTAAAAAAATTTTTTTTTAAACTAAAACCCCAAACACTATGAAGTCTGCTGCACACACGGGGTTGCCTTGAATTGTCATCTCCTCAGTGGCAATTGACCACCACCCCCATCGTCCACACTGACAGTAAGAGACTCAGCTCCACATGAGCTCTTAGCCTCAAACGACAGCCTCCACTGAGCTTTTCAGCAATGCTGGTGTTCACCTTATGTGTAAGTCTGAGTAGACTAAAGAAACAAACCCAGGTAGACTCATGTGTAAGATAACTTTATATGAAAGAGCAATTGTACATTAAGAAAACATCCCAGCCCAGTCCAGATCAAGTCCTGAAGTCCGATACGACCCCACAGGTCCAGTACCAGTCTGTAAATTCCTCTTCTGATTCATGCAACACAGGCAATGATGCTAAGTGCAGGAAGATCACAGGCCAGTGGATGGAAAGTCTTGTGGATCCAGTGGTGGTGGAAGCACCTTAATGGTGGTGTGGGTCTCCACGTGGCTCCTCTGGCGCCAGGGCTCTGGCTCCATCAGCGTAACTCCACGTGGCTTGTCAACAGGAATGTCTCTTGGGGAGTGACTGAGTGTCCTACCTCCAGTGAACCATTTATCTCTTTAGAGCCTCCAAATGAGGTCATCAAGCTGCGACCTGATTGACAGGGTAAACTCCACCCCTTCACTCTTAATAGTCTCTAGTTGACAACAGATCATGTAACTACCACACCTCACTAGTGATTCCCTTACTATGGTGAAGGCAATGTCCAGCTGACTAGCCGGTAGGTTCATAGGTTACATAAGAAACACCTTCTAAGCTTCTCATTGCTTCTGCACCTTTCGTTTATTTCCATTTTCTCTTCCGGGCCCCTCTTACCCTTGGATCTTTGCATTCAGGCAAATGCTGACCATTTCCTAGAGATGATTGTTTCGGTGTAGTTTTCTGCACCAGCCTATTATTTCGCTGAATGGTGACCTCCAGATGTGATTTCAGTGCATAGTGAAAGCAGCGCTTAGCCAGTGTGGCCTATTTTAAGAATCTGCGGGGGGGAATCATTCAGTCTAAGCACCGTGGGTCAGCAAACCCAGATCCCAGAGGCCCCCCACTCTGCAAGCCAGCCTCTTGCACAAAAGCACTCAGCTTTACTTGCTCTCGGGTTGGGAAGCCCATCCCTGTTTCAGTCTGGCCCCTGGTTCTGCTGCTGCTCCTCTGATGGAATAGTTGTCACCTGGATCCAGGAGGTTCTGTACACAGGGCTTTTGGGTCCAGAGGACATGCTCCACTTCTGGCTTTTGATGTTAATGAGATCTCCCCCCACCGCTCCCAACAAGAGCCTTGGTGGTGTAGTGGTTACGTGTTGAGCTGTGATCCACATGGTCAGCAGTTTGAAACCACCCGCGGCTCCCGGGGAAAAGATAGAGCTTCTTACTCCCATAAACAGCCTCGGAGTCGGCATTGACTCGATGGCAGTGAGTTTGGAGTTGTTGCTGCTTCTCAGGGGGGTGCTTTTAGACCCTGATGCCACACCCGGGAAGCCGCCTCTTAATGGCTCACAGGTGGACCCTATCAGTATCTTCCCCCACCTTCTTACCCGACCCATGCCGGGTAGAGGTCATTTGGTGAGAGTCAGAGACTTGGGCTGGAAGAAGCACGCTCCGTAGTTGACTGCCCCTGCACGGGGACTCAGCCCGGACACTTGTCTGCTGATTTCCGTGGGAGTGCACTCGGGACAAGAGCCAGAAGGTAGAAGCTACTCAAGTATCTGTCACCCTGCAAACAGATCAGCCTGAGTGAACCCAGAAAACACGTGAGGTGAAGGGAGGCTGACACACAGGCCCATGTAGTCACGATGCAGTTCTACGTATGGTTCCAAATGGAAACATCCTTCGAGCAGAGCCGTGGTTTCAGGGGCTGGGAAGGGAGAATGGGGAGTGACAGAGCACATCTTTGTGACGATGGCGTGTCCTGGAACTTGGTGGTAGCACAGCCTCAGGCATGTGCTACATGCCATTGGGCAGGGGAGGGAGGGAAGATGTGACAATGACTTGCCAAAACTGACGTGGGGAAGAAATTGGCATCTCGACCAGTCATATGCACTGCAGAATGTTAACATAGTGGGTTCATGTTCTGTGCATGCTGCCACAGTTTCAAAAAAGAAGAGGGTGTGTCGAATACAGCAAGGGGGAGAGAAGTCAGAAAGCGCTCTCAAGGGGGCCTGGCTGGGCGTACGGAAGCGGAGCCATTCCGTGCCCTTCCCCCCATCCTCAGGTGGCAGCAGTTTCGGTCCCTGGCCGATGGCAAGAAGGCAGCACTGACGTCAGCCCTGAGCATCCAGAACTACCATTTGGAGTGCACGGAGACCCAGGCCTGGATGCGAGAAAAGACCAAGGTCATCGAGTCCACCCAGGGCCTGGGCAATGACCTGGCTGGAGTGCTGGCGCTGCAGCGTAAGCTGGCTGGCACCGAGCGGGACCTGGAAGCTATTGCCGCCCGGGTGGACGAGCTGACTCGAGAGGCAAATGCCCTGGCCACCGGCCATCCAGCCCAAGCCCCCGCCATCCATGCCCGCCTCGGAGAGGTGCAAGCCGGCTGGGAGGACCTGAGGGCCACCATGCGGCGTCGGGAGGAGTCTCTGGGCGAGGCGCGGCGACTGCAGGACTTCCTGCGCAGCTTGGACGATTTCCAGGCCTGGTTGGGCCGCACGCAGACTGCCGTGGCCTCTGAAGAAGGGCCAGCCACCCTGCCCGAAGCAGAGGCCCTCCTGGCCCAGCACGCAGCCCTGCGGGGAGAGGTGGAGCGGGCCCAGAGCGAGTACAGCCGGCTGCGGGCCTTGGGTGAGGAGGTGACCCGGGACCAGGCCGATCCCCAGTGCCTCTTCCTACGGCAGCGACTGGAAGCCCTGGGGACCGGCTGGGAGGAGCTGGGCCGCATGTGGGAGAGCCGACAAGGCCGCCTGGCCCAGGCCCACGGCTTCCAGGGGTTCCTGCGTGACGCCCGCCAGGCTGAGGGCGTGCTCAGCAGCCAGGTGAGAGCCCGGAGATGGGGACCAATTCCCCTCCAGGAAGAAGAGGGGAACCGAATCCAGGTCCACCTTGACATAAATAGGAGAGTGATGGACCAGGCGGGGGTTCTGCTCAAGGGGGTAGAGTCTTTGGCGGAACAGAATGCCCAAGGAGAACACGTTAGAAAGCCCCAGGAATGAGAGGAAGGGGGGGATAAAGAGGTTGACAAAATTGACTTAGATAGAAGGAGGAATCCTGGCTAGTCACGTCACGACTGAAACAAAAATAGGAGCCCCAGCCAGCTCCCTTATAACTTTCTGAGACTTGTGCCTAGCAGTCAGGCTACCAGAGCCAGCCACCCTCCCTGCCCCTTTTCCAAGCGGCCTCTGCCACACGGATGCGCCCTCTGGGGAGCTCCTTCCTGAGCCGCTCTCCTCCCGCAAGGCTGACTTGTGCTTCCAGAAGGGAACTAAACAGCTCCCCTCCCGCCCAGGAATACGTGCTCTCTCACACGGAGATGCCGGGGACGCTGCAGGCTGCAGACGCGGCCATCAAAAAGCTGGAGGACTTCATGAGCACCATGGACGCCCACGGGGAGCGGATCCACGGGCTCCTGGAGGCCGGGCGCCAGCTGGTGTCTGGGGGCAACATCCACGCCGAGAAGATCCAAGAGAAGGCCGGCTCCATCGAGAGGAGGTATGGTGAGAACAGCGGGCAAGCCCTCGCAAGCAGGAGGGCCTCAGACAGACTGCTGGGTGGGAAGGAGGGCGGGCAGAAGACCCGTGTGGTTGGCGATGGACACCTTCCCCCAAGGCACGCTCCATCCACAGTGGGGGCTAGACCCTGGAATCGGGCTCTTGGGGGACCCTGTAGGGCTCGGGAGGTGGGCTCCCTACCGTGGGAGGTTGAAGACCTCCGGTGTTGGTTAGAGGCTCATAACCCTTCTGCAGCCAGTTGGAGGGTTCTCACCACGGGCTGTCTTCACAGACATCAGAAGAACCAGGAAGCCGCCCAGCAGCTTCTGGGCCGCCTGCGGGACAATCGAGAGCAGCAGCACTTCTTACAGGATTGTCAGGAGGTGAGGCCCCACCCGCGTCAGTGCTGCCAAGCCAGCCCTTTGCCCACAGTGCCACCCCTCTGAGGCCAGATCAGGCCAGCGAGGCGTTGCCGAGCATACGAGCACCCTTCTTGGCTTCTTCCCACGTGTCCACCATCACCACCCAGCTTTCCCACTTCTCCCAGATCGCCCTCAAGACACCCCCACCCCCCCACCCTTCTCCTCCCTCTGACATGCTCTCTGTGTCCTCTGCCTCCTGCTTCCTGCCGGTCCAGCTGAAGCTCTGGATTGACGAGAAGATGCTGACCGCCCAGGACGTGTCCTATGACGAGGCCCGCAACCTGCACACCAAGTGGCAGAAGCACCAGGCCTTCATGGCCGAGCTGGCGGCTAACAAGGACTGGCTGGACAAAGTGGACAAGGTGAGGGGTGCAACGAGGGCATGGGACGGGGGGCGGAGGGGGCTTCTTCCAGGTAGGGTCCTGGAGTCATTGATTGTGTGGCCTCTAGTGCCACAGTCCAAGGGGACAGACGTCTCAGGTCTGTGGGACAATAGGCTCTAGTTCTTCGAGAAAATCCACATCTCTCAGGGACTAAGCTACAGCTTGGGTGAACACAGACACCGTTCCCGGTTCAAAGCAGGACAACAACCTTCAGAAAAAGTCTGTCAGAGGCCTATTAGTCCGTCCTGAATCTGCACGACCATGCGGTTTATGCTTCAGCAATCCGGCTCTGATGTCGGAGCACAAAAGCTGCCTTACTCACTGCCACCGGGTTGTTTCCTGCCTCATAGCGACCCTTCAGGACAGGGTGGAACTGCCCCTGAAGGATTCTGAGGCTGTCACTCTGTATGGGAGTAGAAAGCCTCATCTTTCTCCCTCCGAGCTGTTGGTTTCGAACTGCTGACCTTGTGGTTAGCAGCCCATCGAGGTCCCCACTACATCCCCAGGGCCCCCGACAGCAATCGAAGATGACACACAAACAAATGAGCTTGGCTGTGTGCCAATAAAACTTTATTGACAAAAAAAAAAACGGGCAGGGGCCTGGGTTCCGCCCCCAGGCCCTAGTGTGGAATTCCCTGGCTGTTATTGAGATGAGGTTTGAGCTAGACCTGGCCGGGGGAGCTGGGTTCAGGTCAGCGATGAAGTGGGACAGTTTAGAAGGGACTGTGAAGAGAGAGTGGTGATGAGAACACACGGGACTTGGAATAATTGCCCTCACTTAGATCCCTGAGGAGCCCTGGTGGGGTAGTGGTTACACATTCGGCCGGGATCTGCATGGTCAGCAGTTGGAAACCACCAGGGTGAAAGATGGGGCTTTCTACTCCTGGAAACAGTTAACAGTCTCGGAAACTCAAGGGGGCTTTAAAAGTCATCAGCTTTGACTCCCTGGCAGTAAACTTAGTTTGGGGGGTGGGGGCCCCTGGGCCAATGTCAGGCTATCGAGTTTGGGGGTTTCTAATTCTGCATGTGCTCCTTTCTCCTGCTGCCCAGGAAGGGCGGGAGCTGAGCCTGGAGAAGCCCGAGCTGAAGGCCCTGGTGGCGGAGAAGCTGGAGGACCTGCACCGGCGCTGGGACGAGCTGGAGACCACCACCCAGGCCAAGGCCCGCAGCCTCTTTGATGCCAACCGAGCCGAGCTCTTTGCCCAGAGCTGCTCTGCCCTGGACAGCTGGATGGAGAGCCTGCAGGCCCAGCTGCGCTCTGACGACCATGGCAGGGACCTCACCAGCGTCAACATTCTGCTCAAGAAGCAGCAGGTGTGTGTCGTAGGCCTGTGACGGGGGTAGCGGGGAGCCGAGGGAGGAGGGCGAGGGAGGAGGGAGCAGTGGCTCTTGAGACGGCAGTTAGTATCTTTACTGGTGTGTCCCAAGGGACAGCTGCTCCCAGTATTTAAAATGCCAGAAGAGCCACACGTGCTGGAAAGGTTCCAGTGGAGCCTCCAGAATGACAGTGAAAACCGCCGAATAGCAGCGGAACTTTGTCTGACATGGTACCAGCAGAGGGAGGAGTCCCTCAGGTTGGGAGACACTCAGCGTAAGACTGGGGAAGAGACTTGACCTTTAAGATGTTGGCAGAGTAAAGCTTTCAGGTCCTTCCTCTGCGGGTGGGACACAATGCAGAAAGAAGAAAACGGCTGCAAGCATCCGTCAGTAATTGGAATGTGGAACGGACGAAGTATGAACCTCGGAAAACTGACATTGTCAGAAATCAAATAGAGCACTTGATGATCAATAGCTGAGGCACTTGCAAGCCGGAACAGACCGGAATACCAAAATGTTGAGTCAGACAATGCGTAGCATACTGTGGCAGGAATGGCCGAGTGAAGGAGTAGCATTGCATTCATCGTCACAAAGAACATTTCAAGGTCTCTGCTGTTTACATGAATAGCAATGAGTACAAGGAGGAAGAAGATGTTCTAGAATTGAATGTGGCGATTATCATACAAGTCTTTTTAATGTGATTGAATTCTTGAATTGTGTAACGTGGACGAAGGGTTAATAAAGCTGTCTTTTAAAAATCGTAACCAAAAGGCAGCCCTGTCAGTTGCTAGAAGACTAGCCACATGCCTACAAGGGAAGCCAGTTCATAGGACTGTCATTTCATTTTTACACACCAACCACTCCTGCCAAGATGAAGGAATTAGAGATTCTAACCAGATTCCACCATCTGAAATTGATCACACTTGGAATTGAGGAGTCCCGGGGGCGCCGTTTCTTACACGTTGGGATGCCAGCCACAGGATGCATTGGCGCTTACGGTGATGGAAATGTGAGCGTTGGAAACAGGAGGATGCTGATAGGATGTCGTGATAAAAATCTGGCGAGTTGGAGTCCGTGGTGGAATTTTGCGAGATCAACAACTTGTCGCAACTTCCACAACAACTATAACCACGGACCTCGCTGAAAGCCAAGCATCAAATGGACTACATCTGTGGAAAGTTGACAGAGAAGCTCAGTGTCATCAGTCAGACAAGGCCAAGCCTGGGCCCCCTGCAGAATAGAGCACTCGTTGCTCACCTGTCAGTTCAAGGTGAAGGTGAGGGAAATTAACTTCCTGTGAGTCAAGTCCAACATTGAGTATATTCCACCCAAATTTAGAGACCATCTCCAGGATGAATCTGATGCTCTGAACACCAATTACTAAAGACCAACCGATGTCTGGGATCACATCAAAGATACCATATGTGTAGAATGCAAGCGGTCATTATAAAGACAGGAAAGACCAAACTAAGTAGCAGACGAGACTGAAATAGCTTCTTGAATGAGACGTAGCTAAAGCAATGAAAAGATGGAGTAAAAGAAGACTTCGAAGGAAGCTTGAAATAGAAGTAAAGCTTGATAAGGAAATGTCCAAAAGTCTGAAATTCAAAAACCAAAAGGGAAGAGCATGCTTCGCATTTCTCAGGTTGGAAAACTCAGGCCGACCATTGCCGTATGGAAGATTCTGAGACAAAACACAGAAAGACGCAGGAAGCAGCAAAAGAAGATGGGAGGGACACACAGTCGCTCTACCAAGATGAGTTGGCCCGTGTTTAACCATTTCTGGAGATACCGTGGCCGGAGAACCAATGGTTTTGAAGGAGGACGTTCAAGCTGCACTGAAAATAACGGTGAAAAAACGAGGCTCCAAGAATTCATCGAATACAAGTTGAGAGGTTTCAACAAATGAATACAGTACTAGACGTGCCCACTTGCTTATGCCCGGAAATGTAGAAAACCAACCTGGCCCCCCGACGGGAACTCGGCGCCATGGAGTCAGTGCCGTCTCAGAGCAGAGCAGGACTTCCCCAGGTGGCTTCGAGGCTGTCAGTCCTTCCAGAGGCAGAGTGTCCCATCTGTCTCCCGTGGGATGGCTGGCAAGCTTGATCTTCCACTTGGCCACCCAGTACTTAACTCCCTGTGCCGCCAGGGCTCCTAATTCCCACATTGTGTTTCATCACCTTTTTATTCTGGAGTGAGCACAAATATGGACGAGATCCAGCAGGTCATCTAACAAAACATAGAAATTACCAAAAAAGTGTCATTAATATCACACACAAGTAAAATTTTGCTGAAGATGATTCAAAAGCAATTGCAGCGGGTACACTGCCAGGGAGCTGCCAGAAATTCAAAGCAGATTCAGAAGAGGATGTTGGATGAGGATTTTCTTGCTGATAATAGATCTATCTATTTGGCTGAAAGCAGAGAATGCAAAGAAAGCATGTTTCCCTGTATTCTGTTGACTACGCAAAGGCATTTGACTGTGTGCATCCTAACAAATGATGCATAGCATTGTGAGGAGTTGCAGTTCCACAGCACGCACTTGCGCCCCTGCAAAACATGTACACAGAGCACGTGGCTGGTAGCAGCCATTCCAGCAGAACAAGGGAGAAACTGTGGTTTAAAGTCCGGGAAGGTGTGTGTCAAGTTGTATCCTTTCACCGTACTTGTTCACTCTGTGCTGAGCAAATAAGCTGAGAAGCTGGACGAAGATCTTCGAAGAAGAGGGTGGTGTCAGGATTGAAGGACGACCCCTTAACAGCTCACAAAATGTAGACAACCCAGCCGTGCCTGTAGAAAGCCAAGACCTCTTGAAGGACTTGCTGAGAGATCAAAGATTTCAGTATGAGGTCCACTTCCACGTTGACATAGATACAAATCACAGCATCGTGGAATAAAACATGGACATCAAGGAGTTCGTTTATTTTACTCGCATCCAGAATCGACATTCACCAAAGCAGCAGTCCGGAAATCAATCAGTGTGTTGCGCTGGGCAAATATGCCGCGGAAAACATCTTGAAAGTGTGAAAAAGCAGAACTTTTGAGAACTGCAGCGTGCCCGGCCTGAGCCGGGGTATTTTCAATTGCTTCATCTGTACAGAAGCTGGACAAAGAATGGCTGCCTTCTGAGTCACGGTGTGGGCCGCCAGAGAAACGTGTCTGTGCCGTGAGCTGTCCAGCCATCATGCTCCTTGAAGCAAGGATGACAAGACCGCCCAGACGGGTCCTCAGGAGGGTCCAGTCCCTGGAGGAGAACCTCAGGCTGGGGGAGGAAGGAAGCCCTCCAGGAGATGCTGCAACAACGGGCTGGAAGCGCAGTAGCAGCGATCGCGAGGCTGGCGAGGAGTGGGCGGTGTTTGGCTCTGTGTGTGTAGGGTCACAATGAGTGAGGACACCCACAGCCCGAGTTAGAATTGACCTCACAGCTGCAGCATTGGATAGTAAAAAGTCAGAAGAAAGATTACATCAAAGGATTTGTGAAACTCTGAAGCAGGGGTCAACCCACTTTTGCTGTAAATTCCAGGTAGTAAACATCTTGGGCTTATTGGGGGGGTGGGGGGGGCGTCACTATCGTCGTCATGTGAAAGCAGCCGTCAGTGATACCAAAGTGGGTGGATATGGGGGCTTCACCGTGAAGCTCAACACACAAGCACCGGCACTGGCATTCTTACGTGAGAGAATGGGCAGTAAAGCTTGATTTACAAAAATATTTTTGGCCCAAATAAAATTTGATTAGCAAAAGTAGGCCTTCGGCTGGTTGTCAGCTCCTGCTCTGAAAGACAACAACCACAGGGAGCAGCTACTGCCTCAGGGCTGAGGGAAGGCCACCGGGCAAGAAGCCGCTTGGAAGATGCTCTATGCCCACCTGAAGGCAGGCAGGGCAGAGGGCTGATGGTGGGTCTGGAGCTGGCGAGCCAGAGCTGGCAGGCAGCAAATATCTGCCTAGTGCCAGCAAACGTTGCTGGAGGCGGTGGCAGCTCCAGGAACCAGAAGGAAAGGCATGCTGTCGCTCCATCGCCCTCTGCTGACGAGACCTAGCGCCGCACCAGCCGGTGGAGGAGAAACGTGTACCCGGACAAAGGAGGGTAGATCTGGAATTGGGGGTAATGAATGGACAACTAGCGTGGTCGGCAGTTTGAAACTGCCAGCCACTCCGTGGGAGAAAGATGGGACTTTCTATTCCTGGAAAGAGTGACAGTCTCAGAATTCCATGTGAGCAGTTCTACCATGTCCTATAGGGCCACCAGGAGTTGGATCAACTGGATGGCAGTGAGAGGCTGGGTGGAACATGGGACCCTGCATTATTAACAACATGCCCCCCTGAGCTGCTTACGTAGAGCTCTGGGCTGCGAGGGGATGAGATCCTGTGGGATGAGGTGGTTACCCTTGGAGATCAGGAATCCAGATCTATGAGCGTGGAGCTAACCCACCCCCCCACCCTGGGCTGGCAGATGCTGGAACGGGAGATGGCGGTACGAGAGAAGGAGGTGGAGGCAATCCAGACCCAGGCGAAAGCCCTGGCACAGGAAGACCGCGGTGCAGGGGAGGTGGAGAGGACCTCTCGGGCTGTGGAGGAGAAGTTCAGGTCCCTGTGCCAGCCGATGAAGGAGCGCTGCCAGCACCTGCAGGCCTCTCGCGAGCAGCACCAGTTCCACCGGGACGTGGAGGATGAGATTGTGAGTGGTGGGGCCCTGGGCCCTGGGAGCAGGCGGGGCCTTCATTCCAGGCTTGGTCCCTGGATAGTATTCTGTGCCCACCTGCCTCTCGGGAGATCGGGGCGCACCCTCTGCTTCCTTTTCCCTGAACCAACCAGGGCTGGTCCTTGCACACTCACCAGCAGCCCCCAGAAAGCCTCCCCTAGGTGCCCCACCCTCCCAGCCAACCCTTAGCACCCACCTGATCATCTGGACCTCCCCGGCCCCTCCTTCCTCCCTCAGCTGTGGGTGACGGAGCGGCTCCCCATGGCCAGCTCCAGGGAGCACGGCAAGGACCTGCCCAGTGTCCAGCTGCTCATGAAGAAAAACCAGGTGAGACGCGAAGGCCAACGGCCAGGCCCCCCACCCCAGCAGACTCGGGGGGTTGTTCTTTTTGCACCAGGCCGGGGTTTCTCAGGTCTCACCCAGATGCTGTGTTCAGCCCTAGATGTCAGTGCTTCTCCTCGGGAGGGTGGGCTCCCTGGGCAGGGGCAAGGGGGTTAGTCCCATTCCCGGGCCGGAAGGGAAGAGGCCTCAGGATGTGGGAGGGGAAGGAAGGTGCAGAAGGGCTTGATCAAGGCCAAGTGG